TATCTAATTTTGCATTAGATATATTTTACCACAATCAAAAAAAAATACAATAAACTCACCTGTCTCTGTGATCATAATATTGTCATTGTGCCTGTCACCTATTCCGAGAACAAAGGTTGCCACACAGTAACCAGCACAGGAATAAACAAATCTCTCCACTGCTGCCTGAAACTAATTAAAAATGCATCTGAATATTAGTTGTGTTCTAACTACAAAGAGCAGCATGAATCTATTACAAAGCGTTTACAAAAAGACACCATTCAGAGAACCATTTTCAGAATGCCTGTGAGCAGTGCCTGATTTCATTAACATTATGGTCAGTGCTGAGTTTCTCATTGCTCTGCTGATATTTCAGGTGAAGACTCAGTGAATCACAAGAGCAAGAGAAGGATGCAACTGTCAAAGAACAACAATAATTTAATCAAAGGGTTCGCTTCCTCTTCATGCATCACTTGCCAACAACTATACGGAACCCATAATAATTTCTCCTTCGTTGGTGAACATATGTTTTGCTTGTGACCACTTAAAGTATGCATGGGTTCACATAGCCACATGTATAACAGACTAATAAATGCTACTAATTATATTTCCTCCCAAAAGGCTGCTAACTATGCAAATGAGAAGTCTAATCCTGTGCAGCAGAATCCAAACATCCTAGCCACACAGCTTGTGAAGGATTCAGCATATGTACTTCAGGGGAATGGTGGAATGACATTTTCAGCATCCATAATTTACCATTTAGATTAGAGTGCAGTGGTAGATCATAAATTCCTTTACAGGGTAGGTGGTTTTTCTGCTGAACAACAAATATAGTCATGAAAAGGGCTAACAAATTATTATTTTCCAGAACCAAATTTTATGCAAAGCATGCCTGATAATCAAAGGAGAAGCTAATGCCCGTGGCGTTCTGAACTGAGGGCCATTTTGCACAGATATACTGTGTCACCCTGGCAAAGCACTTAAAACCCCTGCGCCTCATAGGAAAGGGCTTCCCCAGGAAGTTAGGAGGCACAATGTTGGGAGAACCTTTGAAGACATGAATCCACTGTTGCTGTATCACTGACAACTTGCAGGAGCCTTCAGAATGGGGGTGAGGGGCGGTGAGGAGTGGGGGTGTTAAGTAGGAGCTTACCTTCTCTTCAATAGGACATTTTTCTTTGAGCCAGTGATTCAGGACTTCATCTTTAAATGCACCTGTGTTGCCCACTGTGCTTTGCTGAATTTTGGCGATTGTTGTGGCATCTTTCACGATTTCGATCATTCCTGCAAAAGGAGGCACAGAGTTTGATGTAATCTGGGGCTTAGCGTCTGACCCTGAGAAATGGCTTTGTTTTTGCTGAGTAGAGGACAGAGGGCTAGTTCAGTCACATGGCTATTTTTCCAGGTTTATGCTGTTGGTTTACTTAGAAGGAAGAGAAAGAGGAGGATATGGAAGTTTGTGGGACATGCTTTCAATATCCCTGAATGAAAAGAGGAAAGGGTTGGTTTCAAAAGGCAATAAATAAGAGCCTTTATGTGCTGAGCATATCCTTCCTCACTTGGCAAACTGCATACCTTTTCCTCTCTCAGATTCCAGGGTCACATGGAAATAGTTGTATGTTTTTCAAATCGGAAACTTGAATAAAAATGTTTGATCTAAACTAAAATTAATGTTAAGTGTCTATAAAAGCACCTAAGAGTAGAGTAACAGCTTTGGTAATAGGGACTCTAGGGTATTAAAATAACTGACAGATCTTTCTGTCTATTTTTAAGTTATTTGTGAGAGAAAAGTTGAGTATGCAATGAAACGAGGTCAAGTTTAGAGGTGGAAAAGTAAAGAGGAGGGAATAAGTTCTTACTAAAATCATTTCCATGTATAGTCACAAGGATTTGAATCATGCATTCTTGTATTTTCAATGTAGCTATATTAATTTGAGAGTCACAAATTCAGCCTTGGACATTTTCTTCCTTTCTTTATAGAATATGATTGTAATTTTTGAGTTAGTAAATGCCACACTGAAGGAGTTATGATCCTTTTAATGAGCCAAGTCCTTTATTCCTTTCCTGACGTAACTACCTACCTATTTTGTCACCAGTTGAAATGCAGCCATATGGCAGGAGACACAGATCCAAAGATTCCGTCTCCCAAATGGACTCCATGATTCGTAGAATCTGGGCATCAAACAGAAATGTTTCCATTATAATATTTATTTATTTAATATATTTTTCTTCTTCCTAAAAAATAATCTGAGGTGGTAACACAAAATACACATGTAAACACAAACTATGTAAGTGATAACTGTAATTTTATTTATCAACTTGGTACTCTCTACTGCTTCCCTTCTTTGAGGGCCTGCTAATTGTGGTCCCTGAGATAAGAATGAAAGGGATAAGTGGATTCCTTTGGGGATAGGTTTCAGACATGTGGCATCTATTCAAATGTTCCACTCTGGTTATGTATATTTCACCACAATTAAAAAGTTCTACACTAACATCTTACTCATTTTTATCGACAAGACACTCTTAGGTTACAACCAAGGCAAAAATCATGATGATGATAACAGGAACATCTCCTGAGTGCTGAGTTATGTCAATCGGTCTCATTAACACTTAGTGTGGATGACTATTACTCCATTCTGCAGGTAAAGAAACTAAGGCAGAGAGAGCTTAAATAACCTGTCTGCCCATCAAGCTATAAGCCTCAACAACAAAACAAAGCACACAAAGGGCAAAAGCAAACTTTCCTTCAAAATGAGAGGAACAACACAGTGATGCTTTGTGTTTTTGAAGTGCCCATTTTCAAAGAATTCAAAGGATTCTATAGGTTTATTCAAAATTTAATAATTTTTCAAAAGGTTTGAGGGATTTTTTTTCTTTTACTTAAAAACAAATCTTCCAGGACAATACACATGCCATTCTTGAAAAGAAAGCAAAGCAAGAGTATTATTGTTTCCATATTAGAAATAAGTAAAAACAGAGATGGAGAGAATTGAAAACAGACCAACTTCTAAATAGGTTACATTTAAACCAATGTGGTTTGCCTATTTGAAATAAATATTAAATGTTAGAAATTAAGTCATCTCTACAATGTTGAACAACTAGGATATGAAGAATATTACTTTATACATTTGTGAAGCTAATGTTTATTTTATTTTATTTTTTTAATTTCTTTTTTTTAAAGATTTATTTATTTATTTATACAAGCATTGAGTACAGTCAGAAGTGTGGGAGGGTGAGAGAATTCACCAGAGCCAGAGCGGGGAACAGAACGGGCAGACTGACGAAATACACTGCTGAGGGAAGCAGCAGGCGCAGCAGGAGAGGTCTGTGCACCATGTGGGACCCTCACTGGAGGCTGGGGATCACATTGGCACTGCAGGGGCTGCGGGCAGCTTTGCAGCCCAGCACTTAACCTCTGCACCATCAGGGGAGGCCCTGTGAAGCTAATGTTTATCCAGTAACCTATGTCTTCATCTTCTTTCTCCTTACACATCATTCACTCTTGAGTTAGTGCATGTGTATCAAAGATGATGTATCTAATACACACATTTTATGTCCTATGAATTCATACGTCTATGAGTGTGAGCAGAGTAGATGCTGCTTGGGGGTAAATATACCTATATTCTATGTAATATGTCTATGTCTTGTTACTATACCAGGAATAAAGGAATGTATAAAAAAAAAAAGGGGTTAGGTGATGGAACTAAATATTGGGAATGTTGGATATGCATCTTCTTGGGAATGACAGACCTGCAGTGCTCACTAGATTGTGATGTTATGATCCATAGCCATACCCTCCCAGTCAAAACTCTGTTATATAATTCTTGATCATTGTTTATCTTGAAAAAGAGGAGAATGGAGATCAACTCAGTAGAAAGTAGTTTTCATTGTGATAAAGAATTCTTTTTTAGTTAATTGAAAAAATTTTTACAGTAGCATACCTGTAAAATAAGCATGTCTTGGCGCAGATCGTCCCCATGTTTAAAGATGATTCCAATTGTTTCATTAGATAGAGCTGTAGGGTCAGCACATTTAAATTCAAGCCACAGGGGCTTTTTCTTGGAGGCCATTACTTTACATTTTTCAATCTGTAAGAAAATAGTCACATGTCTTACACACATGCACACACATTGGGAAGACACAAATTCTCTTGCCAAGTATCACTATAGACAACAAGGACAACGTCCTCATTGGAAAATGACCTTCAATGATCTAGGTAAAAATATATCATAGGACTCTGCTACTCCAGTGTCCCCTTAAATAGAACTTCACTGTTATCTGCTTATATGTTTGGCCTCCCCTGAAATTTAACTTGAATAAGGAGTTCTACAGCTATCACAGTGTCTAAAAGCTATTACTGCAGAATCATATCCAATAGGTGAAATCTGATAAGATGGAATTTAAGAGCATTAAATGGAGACTTACTCCACAGATGCAATGCCCCCCCTTCCAGAAATTTCCCTATCATCTAGATAAATTCAAGGTGTGGTTTAGTAGCCAATCACTTCAAAATTAAAAAAAACACACAACTTGGGACATCTAGCCAAAAGTGAATTTACCATACATCAAAAATGTGGTATGGTTTAAAATGGAGAAAAACAAACACAATTTGAAACTATATAAATATATCATTCCTACCAATATCTAAATGAAAGGAAGTAGATAGCATGTGCTTTTGCCATAGGACCAATTTACAGCTAACTGTATATAAAATTAAACATGCAAGGGAGGAACTTCTCCTTTTATCCACAAGACCTAACTGCTCTAGGAATTGGCATCCTCCCATAAATGACTAGAAACTGGGCATAATACACGAAGCAACTTTTCGAAAGAGGACGATAGGTAGTGTAGGGCTGAGGCTCTCAGAGAAGGGAAACAAATGAGGGGAGCCCTCTAATTGTCTCAGTTTACTGTCTGGGGGTTGCTTCTAGGCTACAGCCCAGAAAGAGGATGTCCAGACAAAGCCCAGGGTCTAGAGGTTTAAGATACATAAAGTTGAAATTCCAGGAGAGGACAGAGGAGTGGGTAAAAATATTGGCAGCACATATAACAAAACTGGAATGATACAGAAAGACTGGCATGGCCCCTGTGCTAGGGTGACATGCAAATTGGTCAAGTGTTTTCTATTTTTGTATGTAGAATCTAAACAAACATGAGTAAACAAAACAAAACTCATAGATACAGAGAACAGATTGGTGGTTGCCAGAGGGGAGGGTGGAAAGGGGTGGGCAAAATGGGTGAAGGGGATCAAGAGGTACAAACTTCTCATTGTAAATACATCATGGGAATATAATGTACAGCATGGTGACTGTAGTTAATAATATTGTATTGCATATCTGAAAATTGCTAAGGGAATACATCTTGCAAATTCTCTTTACAAGAAAAAAACTAACTTTCTATGGTGATGGATGTTTGCTAGACTTAATGTGGCAATCATTTTGCACTATATACCACTATCAAATCATTATGTCATACACCTGAAACTAATAGAAGTCACTTATGCTCTATAAATATATTGACTGAAAACTTTCCAAATTTGATAAAAACTCTAAATCTAAAAAATCCAAGAAACTCAATACATCTTAGTGATTAAACATAAAGAGAATCATAAATTACTTAAAATAGGTGACAAAAAATTGTAAAAGAAATTTTGGGGGGCCTCCCCGGTAGCGCAGCAGGTTGAACGCAGCGCTATGAAGCTGTCTGCAGCCTCTGCAGCGCGGGTTTGATTTGCAGCTGGCCAGGGAGATTTCCACATGGCACAGCAGTCCTCTCATGTTGGCCCGCTGCTGCCCCCAGCAGTGCTTTCGGTCTGTCTGCCTGTTTTGTTCCCCACTCTGTCTCTGGTGAATCCTCTCACCCTCCTGCATCTCTGGCCTGTACCCCAGCTATTGTATAAATAAAAAATAAATCTTTAAAAAAAAAAAGAAGTTTGGGGGGAAAAGACACTATGTACAGGAATCATAGATATTCTGAATGAAAATATGCAAGCCAGAAGAAAATGCTGCTGAAAGGAAAAACGTCAACCTAAAAATCTATTTTTATGGTAAATAGCTTAAAAAATGTAGGTGGAATAGAGCTTTTCAAACAAAACCTGAAAAAATTAGCCAGAAGACTTGTACTAAAAAAACCAACATCTTTAAAAGCTGAAGTAAAATGATGCCAGAAGGAAACACAGACTTATAGAAAGCAGTGAAAAATACCCCCAAAAGATAAATATATCAGTGAATATGAAAGAATGTTTAATCTATTAAATTTATTAGATTTATTTTTAACTGTTTAAAGCAAAGATAGAAAAATGTATTGGGTTTATAATATATGTAGAAGTTAACAGGTTGACAAGGATGGGAGGAGGTTAATGGAAGTGTACTGTTTGTTGCAAGAATCTTACATATACATCAAGTAGTTTATTAGCTGAACATAATTAAATGTGTGATGTGTGGTACTGATGTAAGGATATATATTTAGATCAATAGAGTGGAACAGAGAATCTAAATACAGACCCACACATGTGGGGTCAATTGATATTTGGCAAAAGTGCCAAGGTATTTCATAGGAAAAGGATAGTCTTTTCAACAAGTAGTGCTAGACAATTTGGAGATATAGGAAAAAAAATAATAAACCTGATCTTTATTTCCCACTATAAACAAATTCAAAATATTTGTCACTTTGAATTAGGCAGTATTTCTCAACTTTGACATTGTTGACATTTGGGACTTAGATACCTTTTTGTCTAGGGGGGTATCATGTGCATTGTAGGATATTTATAGCATTCCTGGCCTCCACCCACTAGATGCCAGCAGCATCCTCCCAGCTTTAACAATTAAAATGTCTCCAGATATTACCAAATGTCCCTTGGAGTAGGGGAGCGCCACCATTGGTTATGTTCAGAGAATCAATGGGTTCAGCAAACATTTCTTAGATATGACACAAAATGCTTGAATCGTAAAAGAATAAGTGATAAATTGGACTTCATCAAATTGTGGTATGTCTACTTAAGGGAATAGTATTCAGTCACGAATATGAACAGACTACTGATGCGCACAGCAACTTGGATGGATTCTAAAAGCAATATGATAAGTTAAAAAGTCCACTACATACTATATATTCCACTTCATGAAATTCTAGAAAAGGCAAAATTACATGATATAAAGGAGATCTGTTGCCTGTGATGAGGGATGGAGGGAGGAAAGGATTAACTACAGAGAGACATAAAATACCTTTTGCTATAACATTTCTGTGGAAATGTTTTCTAACTTGATTGTCATAATTATATGATTATATATATCTGTAAAAACTCACTGAACTTAAATGAACAAATCTTATTGTATGTAGATCATTCTTCAAGAAAGCAGATTTAAAACAAAATGGGTGGACATTTCCCAGTATTAGACATTTAGTAACTGGTGGTTAGAGAACGGTTGATAGAAGCCCATTCAGGGACTTCCCAGCTTCCCTGTCTCTGTTTAATTGTTAATCTTTACTTACGAGGCCCGATAACCACGCATGGACATTTTCATGACAGAGAGGAGATACCTACCACTAGGGCTCCGGCTTTCAGTCCAGGATCGTACGGAACTCTAAAACTTTTTGGGAGATTCAAAGTCTGCAGGTTTTCAAGCTTTTGTTTAAGTTGTGAAATAACTGTAATTGTCAAAGCACACAAGACTTAGGAGACTTCAAGAAATTTAAGCAACAATATTATCAACAACATTTCTTGAGGCCATGTCTACTCACAATATTCTATATATTTGATCTGATATGGAACAAGAGAAAAGGGGACAGGTTTCTGCTGTTGAAGAATAACCTTTGCAGGTGGCAAGAAAAGTCAGGCTTACTGTAAGCAATGTAATCATGTAGATACACGACATCAGGGGTAGAATGAATATATTTGGGGTAACAAGGCAATTAGGTAGAGAAAGGTGTTTTGAGTGTAACGCTAAGGAACCAAAACTTTAGTTTTCTTTCCAACGTGTGAAACTTTAAACTGCTTTCTGATTTGGGGAACAGATATTTGAAGGCCACATTAAATAGCACTCAGAGTTCTGTAAATTCTTTTCAAAAGCGGAAGTTAGATTTTGTGGAGATGATATGACAACCTTAAAATTCAAAAAGCAAAATACATAAATTAAAAATTATTCTCTGAATAACAGACTGGAGGCTAGTACAAATGTTTCTTAGAATAAAAATAAAATTGAGTAAAGTTATTATCATTATTATTTTTAGAAGAAACCATTTATTGCTGTATTAGAAGAGTCAAAGGAAAAAATTAAAATTAAAAATATTCAGAAATTTAAAATACTGACTATGGTAGTAGGTGTCCATTATAAACTACCGTGCTTGGTCTTGGTATATAAAAATGAGTAAGAGCTACCCTTTGCTTCATGATTCATACGGTTTACCAGATCGGAAAATGTGTGGTAATGACTACAATTTAATGTAAGATCAACCAAAACCTATGGGAAAACAAAGAAAGAATGATTGTCCTAGAACATGGAGAGGGTTTCTAAGGACAGAAATAAGAAGATGATATTTGAAATTTCAGAGAAATACACATATGTGTATACATATGTGTGTATATATATCACTGAGATATATATGTATATCTATGCAAAAATTTTAAAATAGCTTCTCAATAATTCATTACTTTAAAAGACTGAAAATTTGAAAATTAAATACCTACTTGAAATACAGGGAGAAAAAAGATCTGGAAATAATGAATCTCTGCATGCAATTGGTCTTAAACAATACATCTTATATCTGTATAATGTGTTCTAAAATTTTCAGAAAGCTTAATATCAATTATCATAAATTCATTGCTAAGAACATATCAATATACTGATTTAAAAAAAAAAAAAACTTGTTAAGGGAAGACCTTAGATTTGCTTATTCCATGCAGACAAAAGACTAAAAAAATGTGTTCTTGGCTACCTTTAGAAAGGTGTAATTTGCCTTCCAGAAGGAAGAAGAATCACAGGAATGATGACATTTGGAGAAGGCATTTGCAAAGAGAACCAAGAAATGTATCCTCTATACCTTGGGAACTGACGTCATACTTCTCTGCAGAGAGGGATTTAATATCAATGGTGACCTTCTGCAACATCTCGATGACTTTGACTTGTTGGGTGAAGTCATGCAGCATGGCCATGCCGCAGCCCCTCAGATAGGCTTCCAGGATCACGGCAAACCTCTGCTGATAGTGCCTGGATTGGGCTATCTCACTTCTCAAGAACCAAAACAAGAAGTGACCAATTCTTTTGTTCTGAGGGTGGGAAAAAGACAGTTGACATGATTATGACTAATGCTTTCAACCTATCAGTCACTTCTAGCTTTTTACTTGTCACACTATTATCAAAATGGAAGTACTTACTCTTAAACCGCGCTTCAGGAGAAATCTGGCAAGAGCGCTGTCGTGGTATGGCTCAAATTTCACAGCCTAAAGAAAGAATACATGGCATTTGTGGGACTGCATTCTGTGTTGTTTAACAGGGAAAAGGAAATGGAGGAAAAGTGCTCTTCCGTGTTGGGCCCATGTGGAAAGGGGGATGAGAATCTTACCAGTCACTTCAGTTCACTCCTTTCTTTTCGAGGACACTTTGGGCCAGAGTGAACCGCTGGCTTAAGGACTGGGATTAGGAATCAGAACTCCTGCTGAGTCATGTGCTTTTGATCACTTCAGAGCTTTTGCTCCCACTGAGGACTTACTTGATTAGTTGGGGAGATGGAAGGGAGAGATGGAGATGGCTGTAACACATCTCTTATAGTGGAAGGTGAGAGGTTGTTGGACAACAACAAAAAAGAGACACTGGAAACAGAGCATATGTAAGGAGAAAAATACTTGTTAGATATAAAGATCCTCAAAATTTTGTGGCTTCCCTTCTGCTCCAGATGTGTGTTCAGCATCTCACTAGCAAGTCACTGAGCTATCCCATCGGTTCACACTGCAAGTAAACAGCATGCCTACATCACCCACACAGAGTGATCACTATCCACTGCCATGCTGAGGTGTACAGAGTTTTTTGTCTGAAAATCTCTATTTTCTATGCTTCCTTGGGTTTAATAGTGTTTAGTTTTCATATTACTTGGTTAAGATAGAGATACTGACTTAGGTGACAGCTCTATGACTTTAGA